ACCCCCACCCCCTCTCCCCCTTCCACTCTCTCTGAAAAGCAATGGAAAAAATATATCCTCTGGTGAGGATTGGAAAAAAAACACAAAAAATACTTAGAAGTTTTAGTGGGAAAAAACTTCAGGAAAGCACAGTGGTGACTAATTTAATCCACTGTAATCCAACAAGATTAATTGTGCAACAACTAAGTGACAGACCATATTCTAAGTACTAGGGGGCATTGCAGTGATAAGACAGACAAGCCTACTCTACCCTCAAGGAGCTTACCTTTGAGGTATACACAGTTAATAAACAAAATATATAGTGTATCTAAGCAAGATAGGTGTTATGAAGAAAACTAAAGCAGGGGCGGGAAGAGAAGACTGGAAGCAGGGGTTGACAGAGCAGTGCAAGGGTAGAAAACAGTGAGAGATTTAGGTGTTTATCGCTACGTGTTTCTTTCAGTGCTCTGCGAGAAAAAGCTCATGATCTATAAACCTATTAGACATGTAGACTTTTCATTCTTGCAGCAAAGTGTACTGAATGCATAAACTTAGCACACACCTTTGGTTTATAACATGCTGTTGGGGTGTTTTGTACCAATTCTTAATGCAGCTGACGTTTGTTAACGACAGGGTGTATGATAATTTCAAGACCGGGACGTTCGTGCTTTATAAGAGCCTGTCGCGTGACTTTGAAGTCCATGTACGTCAGTGGGACTGTGGGAGCCTTCACTACCCCGTGTCATGTAACTGCGGGTTTGTTGCCAAGGAAGAAAGCGATGTAGTTACTTTGGACATGTGCGGTGGTCAGCTGCGTGAGTCACGGCCGTACTTATTTCTAAAGAGCCGAGGTGAAACCAGCAATATCAAGATAAGCGAATCTTACTTAGGAAGGAAAGTCACAGTATGTATGATTATCATTAAAAGTATTGGTTTCTTTACAGATTTGGGATTTATTCTGAACTTTTTATCTCTATTAAATTAAAAACTATCATTTTCAACATTAGGGTTTTGTTTTCAAGAAAATAACATTTAGATTAGCGCTGATCTTAGGAGGAGTAAAACTTTTTTCACTTACCGCACACAAACGGACACAATTGTTAAAACTTTGTCAAATCTAAACTGCCTTATTTAAGATTGCGATATGATAATTTGGTGGGTTATTCATAAAAAATATTTTTGGCAGTGCCTAATAAATGGTATATTAGACAGAGGTTAAATATATAATTAAGAATAAATATTCAGGAATAGCTAGCCAATTTTTGAAATAACACAGGTGATTCTGCCTCAGGAATAGGCTCCTAGATACATGGAAGAGATTAGAAAATCAAGAAACATCGAAGATTGCATAGTTATTAAGATACATCACTAATGTATGATCAGAACGTCAATTAAACTGAGCAATTAAACAGGCAATTCATAAAAGAAGTAAAATTGATAAATATGTTCAAAAGTACAAATAACCAACAAAAATATAAAAACTTCAACTTCCCTAATAATCAAAGAAATGCAGATCACATATTTCTTATACAATATTGGCAAGAATAAGTAGTACAGCCTTTCCAGAGAACATATATATGTTGAACTTATGCATGACATTTTCCAAGAAGTTTTTTACTTCTGAAAACTTACCATAATAAAATAATTAAGGATGAGGAGAACCCCAGTAATGTTCATTGCATCTCTCCTTTTAAGAGGGAAATGTTACAATTAATTAATCAATGATGAATGAAAGAGTTTAATGGAAACCCTAAATATATATCAATGTCACATAATGAACACTTCATAGTCATTAAAGTTGTGGCACACATGTGTGGTTATTGACAGGAAAAGAAATTAATGAAATACAGGAGAGGCTTTTAAAGAATATGTGCCAAGATCCTAACATGAGCTACCTCAGATTGAGTAGTAATATGAGATTGATTTGCTATTAAAAGAATGTTCTGTGATGAACACTTACCATATTTTTCTAAATGCAATTTTTAAGTCTAAAAACATTAAAAGGGGAAGTACAGTCAGAAGAACAGACAGACACGTTGTATCTTCAGTGATTCTTAGAAAACAGAGGTTCTCAACACGTACATCCAAGCATCTGATCTGGGAGGGTGATGCTCCTGCGAGCAGGGTCACTGTTAGATGACGCAGGCTATTAGGACGATTCAACAGACCCCTGCTCTCATTCCCAGCTCCCCAAGCCATGTTCCAGTTATAATTGGCCTTCCGATTCTGTTTGCCTCCTGGCAGCAAGCGAATGCTGATGAGGAATATGTACCCTTGTGGAATTACATTTACATGTGTAAATCAATTACTCGGCAGTCTAAGTCAATATGAAATAATTACTACCAGAGACATTACTTGGTAAACATTATTCTCAACCTTTATAGCTGTTTTAATTGTATAAAATGTCTCACTTTAGTTTAAATTATTTAAAGAAAGAAGTTTGAACAAAATATCTCAATAAAAGGATCTATGCAGACATCAAATTTTAAGTCAGCAAAAAAAAGTAAAGGTGTAGTCTAAGAAAAATCAGTATTTTATTTTCCTTTTATATTGAGGGAATAAATAAATTTCTTATTTTTTTAAATGCTGTAATAGTTTTTTTTCTTCATCTATATTGAATAGTATTTTAAATGACTTACTTCTCTATTTCAGATCTGGTTTTCTTCTGGAGCATTTATCCGTGCCGATCTTAGTGAATGGGGCATGAGTCTAACAATCAGAGCCCCTAGTTTAGATTACAGAAACACTCTGGGACTCTGTGGCACCTTTGATGAAAACCCAGAAAATGATTTCCATGACAAAAATGGCATCAAAATTGATCAAACTTTTAATAATTGTGCTGCTTTTATTAATGAATGGAGGTAAGAAAGTAAATTACGTTCACTTGTTATTATATTAATATTTGACTTAAAATAAGTGATGACTCAATATTCCGCTTTTTTTTTTTTTGCAATACCTTACTGGGGGGACAGAGTGTTTTCATCCAAATTACTGTTCTTTTCTCTTTTCCATCTGGAAGGATTTTGCCAGGAAAAAGCATGTTTGACACAAAGCCAATTTCTCTGCCATCGCCTGGAAAACGACCCTATTGCAGCTGCTCCTTGGACACAGCTTCACTGAATCATCTGGTCGGTGTCTCTCAATCAGACATCGATTCTGACTGCAAAGACCTCACACATATTAAATCCTCTCCCTTGATACCAGAACTAGATGTCACCTCTAAACATATTAATTCAGAAGCTCTTCTCAGAGGGATAAACAAGCATACATCTCAACGAGAAAATAGTTCGAATTTCTTTCCTCAAGAAAAAAAGCACATGAACCTAACCAAACTGGATTTCAATTTACAAAAACATCCAGAGAATGAGAAACAAGATGCACCAAAACCTTTGGACAACGGGACACACGCAGGGGACCAGGTTAGCCACAGCCAAGCAACAGGGTGGCATGGACAAAACAGATGGAAACGGCAGAACTTTCATGAGTCTCTTCCTTCGTTTGCTTTCCAAAGTCTCAGCCAGAGTGACCTGGAGGGGTTGACTTATTTTTTCCCCGAGGACCACACTGAGGATGTCCAACAGGAGTTCCCCCCCACGTGGCCCACGCCCTCGGGCCTCTCGGAGCGCAGCGCCTTGGCGCTGTGTCAGCAGGCCCTGGCCAACTCCAGCATAGGGCGGCACTGCCTGGGCCTCCTCGGTGAGCGGCTGCACAGTGCTGTGGAGATGTGCCTTAAGGATGTCCTCCTAAAAGATGACCTCAGCTGGGCAGACGCGGGGGTGGCCCTGTTAGAAAACGAATGTGAAAGGAGAATTTTGGAAGAGGGGAAATATAACACAGAAGAGTATGGCAGATGGATGGAAGACATTCTCTTGCTATTGAAATGCCCTAACTTATGCAGTGGCAACGGGCAGTGTATGCAGTGGGGATGCATGTGTTCCCCAGGCTTTAGGGCCTATGACTGCAGTGATTCACATGGTAAGGAATGCTCTTCGACTGTGACATTGTGAATATTTTTTTATTATGAAAATATCTTTATTCTTTTTTACCTTCAGTATTTTAGCAGGGTAACACTAGCCTGTAATTGCTATCAACATTAATTAAACTTGTATATTTAGGACTGGTGGTATCTGTAATATTTTTATTGGTTCAATGATAGTAAATAACACTTTTTTTTAATATCAGATCACTCTTAACATTTAGTAGTTTAATTAATGTCCTGAATAATATTTGGTGTAGACTTTGAAATATTATTTTACATGTTTTTAATTTGGGCATTGAAAAGAATTAGTTTTGATCTGGAATTAAAGAAAATATGTCTTATTTTGTTATCTTTTCCAAAGACAAGGCTCCTGAAATTATAGAGCTTGAGAATGCTGGATTCTGTAATGTTCGAAAATACGATTGTATGATGGTAAGAGTTTTTGGTCAAGGCTTCAAAGAATCACCTTCATTTAAATGTGAAGTTACTAAGCTGCAGGTATGTTAATTACAGAGTTAAAAAGCAATTTAAGCCATAGACGGTTTTGCTCAGTGGTTAGAGCGTTGGCCCGTGGTCTGAAGGGGCACGTACCTTGGTCACAAGCTTGTTCCTGGGCCCTGGTCGGGGCCCCTGCGGGAGGCAACCAGTCAATGTGTCTCTCTCACATTGATGTTTCTCTCTCTCTCCCCCTTCCACTCTCTCTGAAAAGCAATGGAAAAAATATTCTTGGGTGAGGATTTTTAAAAAAAAAGAAAAACAATTAAGATTATGAGTTACTCAGATTAATTTTATTTTGGATTAATTTGGTGTATCAATTATCAACACAATCGCAAAGACGTCATATCCATATATGAACAGGAAAATAATTAAGTTGCTTAACCTTTAAGCTTCCATATTTGTTAACTCTAACTATTTTAAATAATTAAATAATTTTTATTGTGGTTTTGGCTCACTGTTTCAGTCATAATAAGAAATATCAAGGTTAATATATAAGCTTCTTAAAATGTAAACACATGAAAATGGAGATCATTTTTAATATAAGACATCCTGCATGAATTATAGGATATAGAGATAGGAACAATTCCATTTGCAAACCACTCACCCTTATATTTCCCTGACTGTGAATTTCATACTGAAAAATTACAGAAAACAAAACAAAAAACAGTGTTTTTCTTTCTTGAGGCCACAAAAAAATGAACATGATCACTGAGTTTGCATATTTGTATATCAAATAGTACCTTATTTTTAAATGATAGTTATACTTTCTTTGATTCTTGATTATAGTATTAATAAAAATATGTTTTATTTGTCTATTTCCTCTGTTACCTCTTTTCTAAGACTATGCCCAGCCCATACAGATACTCACAAAATATTGATGACTACAAAAGGACTAAAACTCTGTTTATTCCTCATTTTGGGTAGGCTCCTCAAAACAGATGGGTGGAAATAATCCCTGCACTCCCAGTCATTGGCTAGAGTCTTATTTCAGCACACAAAAGCAAAAGATCCTGTATCCATCTAAGTGTCGGTATCATGACTACCCCGAGACAGTGCTGTCAATTCCCCTCTACTAGGAGGCAACTATCTGCTAGGCCAGACTGTATTCCCCTTAATTATGGAGATTTGTACTGAGGCCCACTCTCAGTACAAATGACCAAATCTTCAGCAAGATAGTTTCTACTAGCCACAGCATAGCATATCCTTGCCTGCCTTCCCTTTTCCTATTGACCTATAATACTGAAGTAGCAGTAGGCCCCATGACCATTTCTGAGTGATTGAAAGCATTCTACAGTCGTAAATTTTAAAAAAGTCTAAATCTAAATTTTGGCAATAAAATATATCCTTTTAGTTTTCTATGTGGTTACACTACTCAGAAAATTATTCTGCCTTTTCTTCTTTAGACAACATGGCATTTTCAACGCTGAAAAATAATTCTTAATGTGTAGGCTAAGCATGATATACCACTGAATTATTAAATAGTGTGAATTAGCTAGAATTTATTTAGTTTCAAGTTACAAAAATTTATGTGAACTAACTTGAGCAAAAATGTTTATCATGACATTATGTTTCTCACAGAATCAAGGGTAAGAATACAGCTGAATTCTCAGGGAAAAACTTGAACTTGGGACTTGAACACTGTGAAGACTCAGCTTGTGTGTCTTGTGCATGTGTGTGATGTGCCTGTTGGTCTCAGTTCTGCTTTTCTCTGTCTGGGGACTTTGTTTCTCCATTTACTAGATACTGGCTTTCTCCACATAGTGAAAAACATGGCCACCAACAGCTCCATAGGTTTGTGTCTTGCTACTCAAGCCACCAGCAGTGGACTGGCCCAACGCCCTCTAGTACAGATTTAAAATATTTCAAGCAAATAAAATAAAATAAAATAGACTAACTGAAATGGCTCAACAATTAGCAAAAATCATTTATATGTGAAATAAAAAATGTAAGAATCGATTTAGGAAAATAAACATTAAGAAAAATATTTAAAAATAAAAAATAAAAAAAATATTTCAAGAAATCTCAGCGTTGGCTCGGCTTAGTTCACTTCTGGAGCAATCAAGTGTAGTCAGGGAGGCATCTCATATAGGAGCAGGAGAGGTCCCATGGGAATGCGGTGATGGAGGGCCAAATGGGCAGTTTCAAGTAGAGGCAGAAAGCAGGAGCTTCTTCAGGAGAAATCAGGGAGTTGGTGGGCAGAAAATCAATCCACTGTGTGTCAACTGCACAGTCAAGTGTGCTTCCTCTGGCTACAAAAGTCATTACATAGCGATTCATTATGTATGGGCAATACTAGTAACTGCTTTGATTTGAACTGCAAGCAACGCATGAGTGATTAGAAGCAGTTTACATCAACTAAATATGTATACATTTTAAAAATACATATATGTTTTTATTGATTTTTTAGAGAGAGAGGAAGGGATAGAGAGTTAGAAACATCAAGGAGAGACAAACATCATCGATCTGCTGCCTCCTACACGCCTCCTGCTGGGGATCAGCCCGCAACCTGGGCACGTCCCCTGACCTGGAATGGAACTGTGGCCTCTTGGTTCATGAGTTGACGCTCAACCACTGAGCCGCACTGACTGGGCAAGACGTATACATTTTTAATTATTCTGAAAGGAACTATCACTGTCACTTTTGTTTATTCAGTATATATTCCATTATAGCAAACGTGTGTGTTTTTTAAATTTGTATTTTGATTGTATGTAATTGACTAGCAAGCCTTTCCCAAGAGGCTGATTCCTTTCTCACTGTGCCTTCAGCACAATGGCAGTCAGTGGGTCCTTGGAGAAGCCGCGCCTTCCCGTGCTGTGTTTCTAAACCGCAGAACGGCCGACTGTCGGCTGCCCGCCCCCACGGGTGAGAAGCCACTTGTGAAGTGGCAGTTAAAGGTACAAAAGAAAACATTTCCTCATGCTTATAAATAAGTAAACACATGTCACAATCCCACAGTTTATGAAGGCACGTTCAGAACAAGGTACCTTATTATAGAACCGCATCTTACAGGTATCTAATGACGGCTACAGGTTCAGTAATCCCAAAACAATGGTCATATACGATGGGGCGTGTCAAGTGTGCGGTCTCTATGGAAAAGACTCATGTACGGCAAAGGTATGTATCTTTTCACTTATTTTCACCATCTTCATGTGTCTTTATTTCCCATGCTGTTGGGGTATTAATGTAGTTTTTAAACCTTCGTGTCAGAAGTATTAATACAGAAAATCTTTTCTCAGGTTTATACAAGATTAATTAAAATTGTTACTCTGCCCATAACTCGTTTTATTTATTTATTTATTTATTTATTTATTTATTTATTTATTTATTTATCTTCATCTGTGGATATTTTTTCCATTGCTTTTCAGAGAGAGTGGAAGGGGGAGAGAGAGAAAAGAACATTGATGTGAGGGAAACACACCGATTGGTTGCCTCCCACATGTGCCTGGATGGGGGCTGGGGATCAAGGCTGCAACCAAGGCGTGTGCCCTTGGCTGGAATTGAACCCAGGACCCTTCAGTCCACAGGCCAATGCTCTAACCACTGAGCAAAACCGTTTAGGGCCCCATAACTCTTGTTTTAAATGGCAAGGAAGAGGTTTCTAACTTTAACATTTTAAAGTGGCAGGTTGTTTAATCCTAAAAAAAAAACAACACACAAAAGAGGAGGTTCAGATTGCATTTGCATTCTTACATACATTGTTTTTAAAGTGATAATAATGATTTTTCAATAAGATACTGATTCGCAATTGCCTAATGCTCTTTGTGGCAAGTTTCATGCATTGCATAGAGTTTGTAGAAAGTGTAAGACTGGAGCTTTTATGGGGAATTTTTTTGTGTGTGTGGCAACTAAACTCATTGAACCATGCAAATACCTACCACTTGGATTAAAGAACAGCACAGCCTGACCTGAATCCTCACAGCCACACCCTCTTATCTATATCCAGTCTATGGGTTTATCAACAGATCTCCCTCATGTGTCAGTTGCTGATTTAACAGATGACATGGATCTAATACCATTTGATTCTTCAAAACTGAGGAGCAGATCAAATAATATTTATGTATATGAAAATTAAAAGTATTATTATTCTAAATTTTTTTTTTCTTGATTAGCAATCAGATCCTATCAATAAGTTTCTCTTCTTTGAGAAGTTGATTTTTATTTTCCCTCAAATATTCCATCTCCACATGTCCTACAATAAGTACTTTTGAAATGTTATCTGTTGTTGTTTTATCCTATTGGGCTGTTTTGTTCTTATTTTTGTGCAATGTTCCGAGTGATGTCTTAGGTGATTTTCTAAAGTGAGCTAAGTTCTGCCTGGCTGATGTGGCTCAGTGGTTGAGCATCCACCTAGGATCCAGGAGATCCCAGTTTGATTCCCTGTCAGGGCACATGCCCGGGTTTCGGGCTCAATCCCCAGTAGGGGGCATGTGGGAGGGAGCCTATCAGTGACTCTCATCATTGATGTTTCAACTCTCTCTCTCTCCCCCTCTCCCTTCCTCTCTCTGAAATCATTAAAGACATATTTTAAAAAATAATTTAAAAAAGAAAGTGAGCTAAGTTTATTTATGCTGAACAACTTTTGGTCTTTCAAGATTAAAAATGATTGTTACATTGAATATTATTTCTGTGCACGTCAGCATCTCTTTCCACTATTTTGTGTAATATCCATTGTGATTTATGGATAATTATGCTATGGGTCTGGTGTAGTTTGCTGTGTACACAGGGCATAGTGGGCTCCTACAAGAAGAGAGGATAACTATAAACTAATGTGATTCTATAAGATGTGTTGGGCAAAAAGGTCTGTTTCATTTTTTTTATAGATAAAGCATTCCTAGCATGAATTTAGCAGTAAAAAAGACCAAAAAAAGAGATTTTCTTTCATGTATTGATAAGCTGTAAGTTATAATTCTGTACATACAACTATAAGTATTTTCTTATTTCCTCCACATTGATCCATTCCATAAGCATTAACACATAAAGGAAATTGTCTGTTTTCTAGCATGCATTTATGACTAGAAGATATGAAAAAAGATTTCCTGATCAAAAGATTTATAATAGAATTTCATTGGAATCATCAATATATATGCTGCTATTCTTCTTTGTACAGGTTTTTCCCCCTATTTACTATAGCTGTAACTTGATTGATGTTTTCCTTTAAATGTTTTTAAATTTTCCATTAGGAAAATGTTTGCATTATTGATGGACTCTGCTACATTGACGGGGCTAAACATCCTACCAGACCTTGTTTGATTTGTAGACCTAAACTTTCAAAATTTACTTGGTCATTTTTAGAAAGTAAGTTATTCTTTATTAATACAAATATTTCCTCTACAAAATATTTTTAAAGTGATTTTAAATCACAAGTTACATAAATGTGCTTAAGATGAACAATTGTATTTTAATTTAACTTCTTTCCTAACTGAATAATTTACTTTTCTAGAAGAAAATATAAGATACAATGTTTTTATTTTATATAATCTCTGTGATTCATACTATAATAGAGTACGGGCTTTTTATTTTAATATTTGATAAGGAAAGCAAATGTGAAATATTAATGGAAGAAATGGGGAGTTTAATTCAGCTACACACAATTTATGCAAGTCAAAAAACTACTGGCAAAATAGCCACTTATGCACCACTTAAGTAATAAAATGTCCATCAGTCAAGGTCCATGGGTTTAGCGGAGAGAGAGCATTACTTTGACACCAAAGGTTTAAATCCTATTCTTAGCCTTTCCTCTTCTCAGTTTTGTGACATGACATTTAACCACTTAAGTTCCAATAGCCACGCATTCATCACCTGTTAAATAGGATTATCTGGACTTGATAATCTATAAAGTACCTTCCAGACCCACCATTCTGTGACTCTCTGAGTATAATATTGGGTACAAATAATTTCTAGATTCTTTGTTCCACCCCAAAAATACTCTAAATTGTAGATATGTACTATATAATTTCTTTGCTTCCTTAAATACAGCTATGTGATTCCACCTGAGTGTTCTTCACATTCTTTTTACTCAGTCAAAAGACCAGGCATCACAAGATACAAGATATAATTACTCCCTGGCCCCATGTAATTTTATCTAAGGGAGTCCTAAAACCTTATATTTATACAGTGCTTTGTAATATCACTCTATATGTCATTGCATGTGTACATTTCATTACTATGTTAGATCATATGTCAGATGATTCATTGTTCAGATGCAAGACTCCTGGGATATTATGGGAAGACAATGGAAATTTGGGGAGAAATTTAGTGCAAGAGATAATTGGAAACAATATAACTTCTGAATTGGTGTCTATGTTGTTAATGGCTTTGACATAACTGATTCATCACAGACTCACAGTGTTCAAAGATATAATGGGTCTGGCAGTGTTATCTGTTCCAAACCCTTTGTATTGAGGGTGAAAAAATTAAAATCAGTAAATTGTATAAGAATATATATTCAAGGGCAGAATGGGAGCCAGAACTATTGTCTCTTAGCATCAGTGCTTTGCTAATGCAAAGTGTCTGCGCCCAGTGTAATGAGTTGAGGCTATTCTTTCTATTTACTAAGCATGTGGGCAAGAAAGGCAGACATTTTAAGATAAAAGACAACACAAAATATGTTTTAAATCCTTTCATGAGCAAAAGGGGAGCACTCCTTGTCCCCTAAAATAGCTACCATTCCAGTGTGTGAGCTCACTAGAAGGACTTCTGAGGAGGAGATTGGTAATGACTAAATGGCTCCCATTGGGGAGGCATGTACAGCATAGAAAATTCAGGGGAGCCAAATAAATAATCCACTCATGGACAGGAAGCGAGAAATAGAGGAAGGGAGATGTAAAGAGGGAACGTAGGGCTGAAAAGGACAGATGGCAAACAAGAGCTAGTGGAAGAGCAAGCAATGAGACTGTCAACACTGAGTACTCTCAGACAGAAGAGAAGGTGCTTCCAGTCTGGGCAATGAAAATGTATTTTATGCTCTATTCAAGGTGTTTTCAAACTCTCATAGCAAAGTCTGAAGTTTGTACCTGTCAGTTGCTTTTACATTTTCTACGAATGGAATTGATTTATTCACAATGTTTAAAAAAAAAAAGTGAAGGCAGGTAATAGAAATTTTACAGAGTTCAAACTTGATCAAAATGCTTGTCTCAATGGGCTCTCTGTATCAAAATTTTCCTTTTCTACACAGGTATAAAAGTAATTGTTTTCTCTGTTACAGACAACCAACCCCCAATGATCCAAATACAGCAAGACAAATTACAGACATTTTATGGGGAAAACTTTGTGTACCAGCTCATGGCCTTGGATCCAGAAGGCTCTGACATCCATTTTACCTTGTACTCTGGTCCTGAAGGAGCAAATGTTTCCTCTGCAGGACTTCTTATGTGGAAAGCAGAGTCACGAACTCCCCGGCCATTCACTCTACACATTAGCGATGACTGCAATGCTGAAACTAAAGTCACAATTGAGGTATTTTTTATAATTGCATAAATGTAACTCAATTAATTAACAATATTAAAAACTTTATTATAAATTTGAAATACAATTTATATTGCTAATTTATGAAGAGTAAATTATTAAACATTTCATGAAAAATAAAACTGCCAAAATTTTGACTATTTTGTAAGAATTTAAAACCTTCTGGAGAGTCTCAAGTCTAGAGCACAGATCTACATTACTAACTCCTAAACCATTTTCTCGGCACTGAACTATGACAAGGATAGAGAACTCATTCGTGTCCATCTTTGTGAAAGACCTGTGATTAATGTAAGATTAATACCTGTCAACAAAAGGTCACTGCCATCCATCTAATGCCAATAGGAGTCCCCAATCCATAGGGTGGTAAAAGGAGGCACTTTATTCAGGTAAACAGTTTGCAGACCAGGAAAACACAGCATGCAGAAGAATCTGAAAGTGCTCTCTGCCAGACAAGGGAAGGTCACTTTTGTAAGGTAAGTCGTTGTCCCCGCCCCCATTGGTTCCATTCTATGCAAACACTGAATCCAAATTTGCCCAGTCTGATTGGCTCAAATAGCACTGCCCTGATTGGTCAGAACCACGTGTTCTGATTGGCCATTATGGAGCAGCTCTGATTGGTCAGGAAAGATGAAAATGAGGCTATAGCTGTGCAATTCTGATTGACCAGGACTGGTCTCAGTTCACTGGGTGAAAAATGATTCCAGGAACTCACTTATAAGGCTCAGCTCAGATGGCAGGAGCTCAGTGCTGGAGGCTAGCAAGTCAGTCTGCAATTTTTTCCCTGAAATGCAATGTGCACAGGAGTCCTCTACCCATAGTGGGGTCTCCATTCTGGTTATGAATTTGAGTCCATTTAACTACAAGAAGCCCTTCTTGGCAGGTTATTCCTTCTAGGGGTCAACATACCTTTTTCCTTCAGGTGAAGGAATTTTAGATGTTGAATTATAAATCAGAAATATAAATATAAGCTTTGAAATAACTAATTGTGAGTTATATTTTCTCATTTAAATTGATTATTATTTCGATTATATCAGTTGTAAGCTCCCAATACTGTTTTTTGTGCTCTATATTTGCTCAAAACTTGAGACACACTTTCACACAGTAGTGTTATGAAGGGCAGTTTGCACTATGTCAGTTAAACATGGTAATTCAAGTGTTTGCTTACTCTCTAGATTGATGACTACCAGCTTTCCACCTTAAAGATTTTTTTTTCTAGTTCTGCTTGCATTACAGAAAATTGATCATCATGTAACTTTAAAAAAATATATTTCTAACATTTATATTTGGCTATGCTCTTGAGAATGGGCATAATTGCCTTATTAAACTATTTTTAAATACTATCGTATATTAAATATACATATATTTGCAAAAATGCATGATCTGGTCCTACTTGCACACAAACATACATTCCTATCATGATTTCTGGGACGTAAACTGAAGATGACTTAATTGCAAATAAAGCATTTTTGTTGTTTCTTTTTCAGTTGACTGTAAAGTCTTGTGATTGTTTGAATGGTGGATCATGTGTGTCTGATACAAAATTTCCTCCAGGAAGTGCAGCATATATGTGTGTCTGCTTGCCTGGCTTCCAGGGCAGTCTTTGTGAAGTAGATGTCACTGAGTGCCAATCAAATCCCTGCGGCCTTGGTAAATGTGTTAGTGGTTTTCACAGTTATTCCTGTGATTGTCCACGTGAGCTCAAAGGTAAGTTTGGGTTCCTCATGAGCAAAATTAGTATATGAACAAATAAGAAAGAAAAGCTCCTTAGAAACTTCATGTACTCAAGCAAATGTATTATCTTAAATATTTTAACATACATTTAAAAATTCTAGTAAAAGTCATCACAAATAAATTTGTTATCCATATTTCCTATTCATTATAAATTGCTTATATGTGTACTATTACAATTTTGCCCATTTTTATCATTTCAATAGAAATATTCTGTTTTTACATCGTGTTTTGCATGTTTCTTAACACTTCTTTCTGTATTTGGTAGGTAGAAATGTATTAACACATATTACTATTAAAATATAATATGGAATAAAGAAACTTGCCATGGGAAATATAAAAATTTTCATTCAAGAGAGGTTTTATTAATTTATTAACTTGGAAATATCATGGTATAAAATTAAAGTTGAAGTAAATTGAAATGTTAACATACTTGTTAACTCATTAATGGTCCTTAAATATCTGATTTCAGAGACCCCAAAGAAGTATATAACTGACAATCTTTAACCTCCCAAGGCTTTTTAAAAACTCCTACCATATTTAATTTAATTTAAATAGATGTAAGTGTTAAATGAGTAAATATGAAGTTATTGAGCTGATATTTCCCTTGAAGGCATCTATTTAATATTATAATAGGACTAAGAAGGTGCTTTCTGGTTTTCTTCAGCTTTTTAAAAGAACAATTTTAACATTTGGGACTCTTATGTTACACACTACACTTGCAATAATTCAAATATTGATTGCCTCGTGAGTTTTTACTGTAAGAGTTACCACCCATTGATTACTATAAATTCATTCATTTAAAACAGTAGTTACAAAGAGCAACACTTCACCTCAAAACATTTTATTGAGGAAAGACTGACTGTCCTGGCATAGTAAAATGTTCATAGGTTTTCACAGCCAGTGCAATAACTGGACTGAATAAGTTGTCCTTAAGCTAAGCAGACAACCATTCTAATAACTGTTGTTGTTTTTGTAAAATCACTGAATTTTTAAACAAAGTTTAAATTACTACTATAATATGGTAATTTTTTGCCTTAAAATATTAATGGTGCATATATGTGTGTCTGCTTGCCTGGCTTCCAGGGCAGTCAAGTAGATGTGAAGTAGATGTCACTGAGTGCCAATACTAAAGTCTTCTTATTTATAGGATAAATCTTATTTAACTGAAGGGTCTGGTTTAATGTTACATAGAATCTAATTAATGACTTTATCTTTAATTATATAGTAAATTATTTAACCAGTATACTTCCTCTTCTTAACGTATACCAACCTTTTTGGAGTTCGGAGGACATACATAAAGGGTAAAAGAAATCAAATAATGAGCACTTGATTGGACATATATTGGTTTTCAAATTAAATAATTTGAACTCTCAATCTATATTTCATTTAGGCAAAAATTGCGAGGAAGATGTTAACGAGTGTGAATCCAGGCCTTGCTTCCCAGGAGTAGAGTGCCTCAACACCTTTGCTTCTTATCATTGTGGTTCATGTCCTAAAGGATTTTATGGGGATGGAAAAATTTGTCATGGTAAAAGTCCCTATTTTCTGCCATAAATGTTTTTTGCTGAATTTAATTAATGCAAATCACTCAGTTCCATTCTCCTTTTTACTCATGCATTTATTCAGTATATATGCATTAACTCGTATGCTTTGAGCTAGATGCAGAGAACGCAAAAATACAAGAATGGGGCAAAAATAGGTTTATAGTTGTGAGTACATAAAACACAGTTTATTCTTGTATTATTATTTATTAATTATTATATTATTCTCCATAGGAAGAACTGCAAACCTGCTTTTGCCCCATACTGCATATAAGCGATGTCCTCTGACGTGAGGGGTTAGAGTATAACAACACGGAACATGACATGTGATCACGTAGTGCGATAGGCGCTCTGTGTCTTTTGATAGAAGTGCGTAGAGAGAACAGCAGGGGTACCACCCAGGGGATCGTGTCCACCTGGAGGGATGCTGGAAAGTTTCCAAAAGGCAGTGTCTTCCTGTCCTCCCTCCTGCCTTCCCTCTGAGACCTGTCCGTCTGTCTCATGCTTCCATGTCTGCGGTCCTGTCTTGTTCTTCAATTTATTTTGTTCCTTAGATTCCACATATAAGTGAGATCATGTGATATTTGTCTTTCTCGGACTGGCTTATTTCTCTTAGCATAATATTCTCCAGGTCCATCCATGCTGTGCCAAAGGGTAAGAGAACATATATGCACAGCCCATGGACACAGACAATAGACAGGGGAAGAACTGGGGAGTGGTGGGAGGTGGGGGGAGGGGTAAAGGGGAGAAAATGGGGGACATCTGTAATATTTTCAACAATAAAATAAATTTTTAAAAAATGTCTGGGGATTCATAAAAAAAAAAAAAAATGCAGTGTCACTACAGCTAAATCTGATGTGTTGGATCCAGAAAGAGAAAGGCATTCTAGGTAGAGAAAACAGCAGGAGCAAAGGTACAGAGGCGTCACACACAAACGTCCCAGCACACCTTGGGCACTGTGAGTAATTTGGTATGCCCGAAGTATGGGAGAAGGGAGGGTGCTACCGGGGTTGAAGCTAGAGAGGCAGCCAGTATCTGGACCACTAAGACACTGAGAAACAGGGTAAGGTTTACACTTGAGAAAGTCTATTTAAGAGCAGTATAGAGGATGGACCACTTGCAGGTCAAGAGCTGTGTAAGTCTGAAGATGGAAAGAAGGGTTAAGACAATATCACAAACATATAGGAGAGACATGAAGATATTCTGATCTAAGTGAGGGAACAACACTAAAGAAGAAAACTGATAATACTTGGTCAGTGACTGAAATCAGGAGTGGGTCTTTAATTTTATCAAATGGTTTTGCAGTATCATTTATTAAGTTGCTATGATTTCCTTTAACTAACTTTCCTTAGACTAACTTATTCAGAATGTTTTGGTGTATCAAATTACATTTTTAACATTATTTTAAATTATTTTCTTCATTAATATCTTAATGTGACTATGTAATGTAATTACATTAATAGAGATGCAAGTCTATTTAATCCCAATGCAGAAATATAGAACCACACTGCTACATTTGATTTACTAGTATTTTAATTGTTTATGCATATTTAAAAATAATATTTAGTATAGGATTATGCCACTCTGATCAAATGTCTGTAAAACTTTTCAGCTCTTTCTGTGCATTGCAACAATTTTGTAAAATATTCTTTCCTTGGTTATTTGGTTAAAGTCTTCCCGTTAGATCATCTGTCCTGACTTCGTTTTGAGAGGTGATTTTAGATTATTTTCTGTTTCTTTCATGGTAATTATTATATCAACTACTCAATCACTTTTCCAGTCAATTTAATCATTTATATTTTGGGGGGAAAAAATCATGTTTTTCATCAAGATTTCAAATTCTTAGTTTAAAATCACATCTAGTATTCTTGTATAATTTAAAATTTTCCTTATATTTATAGCTTTTTCTCTTTTATCTCCAAAGTTGTTTAGTTTTATCTTCCCACTGTTTTTATCTGGACAGAGCTTGCCAAAGGTTATCTATTTGTTTTTGTTTTTTTATATACTCATTTAGATTTACTTCTCTGTTGTCTCTTCATAACTCCTATTTGACTTGTTGTTGATTTGTAATATAGTAATTTGCATCACATGTTCATGAAATTATCTTATTTCAGTGGCTTACCTTTATGTTGTCTTTTTATGCAGAAATATTAAAATTTTATGTAGTCAAATACAGGTATCTTTTATTACAATTTTTATTTATAGCTTCCATTTTCAAGTATTTAACTTCCAAGTTATGCATATAATCTTTTCAATTTTCTTATAGCTATTTATTACTTTGTATTATTTTATATTTTACATTATAATGTCCATCTGGAATTTATGTTATGAGTTAGAGACCCAATATTTTTTCTTTGGGATAAATAAGCAGTTATGTATTATCACTCATTAAAATAAGCCATTCTTTCACACTGAATTTAAATACCATGCTTTTTATATTAAATTCACATATACACTGAGATACATTTCTGAGCTTTCTATTATGTTTTTATTACCTGATGGTCTTTTTCTATGCCAATAATGCATTATTTTGATTAGTGTGGCTTTATAACACACTTTAATATTGCTAAGGTAAATAGCCCCTCACAATTCTTCTACTTTGTAATTTTTCAATACTTCTAGTGTATACTTTAACATGAACCCTAAGATCATTATAATAAATTTCAAGAGAAAACAATGTATTTTACTAACGTGCATTTGCTAATATGTACTCCTCCCTTGATTTCTTCTGCTATATTTTTCATAATCTGGAATTCCAATTTTTCTCTACTTTTTCCTTCAATTCTAACACCAAAAACTCTCCTAAGAAGGTGATTCCTTTGAAGCAGTTTGGGTCAGGAAGGAGCCGTCCTTCAGTGTAGAAAGGCTAGGGAATACACGCTAACTTGTCTTAGATTTTTAATCAGTTCACCCAAGGATTGATCCAGGGTCCTCTTGACCTTTGTACTGCGATGACTGCTTGGTCCTCACTTTTGTTTCGGGCTACATTTGGTATACTCTTGTTTCTCTATTAGTCTGAACCCCTATGCTTTCTGTGTTTTACAAAGTCCTCAAAATTACCAAAAATCTTTCATTGCCCTTGTTTTTGTTTGTCAGTTATGTTAAGGATTATTTTTTTATTGTTGTTTTTGTTTGTTTTCTTCTGTCTTTTCCTGGTTTTGATTTGTTTTCCCCTTTTTTCATATTGTAAGGGATTTGAGAAGAGCTGTGCATGAAGACAATGGAAAAATTAATTCTGAACTGACAGTAGAAAATATAAAAGGGAAACATGTCTAATCACTGCTTAAAATTATCCAATATTAGATTTTCCATACCAAAGAAACTTTTTAAAAGAATTACTGGATAAGCAAAATAAAGTACCTTGGAAGAGAGAAAAAATGATGTCCCCTCCCCCTTAAAAAGAACACACACAAATGTTTAATTGGTAAAATGATTAGAGCCACAGTGTTTTGTCTCTCCTACAACATAGCATTTATGTAATTATCAATTAATTTTCATATAAGCATTCCATTTCTGTCCTCGCTTTACCAGGCAAAATAAGCTGTTCACTATTCCATGGTCCTATCGGTTCCATAGCTGTCACTCTTACAGTAATCAAAGGTCATTAACATGAGTTGCTGGCATGTCTGTATCCTTGACAACACCAAGTTTCTCGGGGATGGAGCTGTGCTTTCTTTTGCTTTGAGTCTCATGTATTAGGTGGTAATAAATGTTTGTTGACTATTTCTAACTCTTCATAAAATTATTAGTTATTATTCTTTAATTGTTATAGCATTTAACATTCTGTGGTACCTTGTTTAGTCCAATAGATTTTAAGTTTCTTGAAGGCAGGAGTTGTGGGATGACTCCTCATTACTGCACGGTTCCTAGTATACTGTATACATGCAATAGATATTAAATAAAGGAATGAATTACTTAATATTAAGTACTGTGGGTAGAGCAGACCCTTAATAAATATTATTGACTAACACTTCTTTTTTTTTTTTTAGATGTAAATTTTCAGTCACCGTCAACAGAGCACTTACTAAATGGTGCAAGTTTTACCCACAGTCCAGCTACTATCAAAACCAGTGGCATCTCCTACTTCTCATTAAAATCAGTTACAACTCGAATGAAAAATTCGAAGGCAATTTCTCATCAGATATCAGGGGTGAAACACGTGGCTCACACTCTGAGCACAGATCTCAGTCTGGGGGAGTTAGAAGTTGCCATGCACAACCACCGGTCTATAAGTATTAACCCAAACCGCCCCAGCGAGGGAGTGAAGGGCGCTGCCCAGGGCACCATCCAAACAGAGGCAAGAGGGTCTAGCTCTCCAGTTTACAAGCCTGCCCAAGGCTACGCACAGCATACAGGTGGGTTTGCAGCATCCGTTATTAGAGCCATCACTGTTTTGCCAGAAAAGCCCGAGTCCACCAAACTAGCAAGGTGTGCAGAATCGCCTTGCTTTGTGGGTGCTTCCTGTGTGCCAGCCACAGGCGGCCACTTCCCATGTGGCCGCTGCCCCCTTGGATATTTCGGAGATGGTATCAGTTGCAGAGGTAGTGTGAAAACTCTTCAGAAGGTTCAAAGAAAACTGTCTAGTTCGCATTAAAGTAATTACGAAGATGTTTTCTATTTATTAATTTCTATTTACTCCATATTTTTTTCACACTTAGAAAAATTAACATGGGAGTTTCTGGGTTATTTTTTTAAAATACCATTATTATTAAACAGAATTATCACTATCTAATATATTTACTGAGTACCTACTGTGTTCCATGGTCTGTGGAAACATTATCAATTCTGTCATGTAATTTACAAGGACCCCACAAACGGGGTGTTGTTTTCTCATGATACAGATGAGAAAGCAGAGCATTAGGGGCTAACCGACTTCCCTAGAGTTAAGCAGCTGCAGAGATGAAATAAGGGTGTGAACAGCACTGTGGGCTGGGTTCGTTTCAGTTCACGGTAGGCATATGGCCCTTTCAATGACTAATTCTGGAGTATTTGCTTATTTGTATAAAACTAGGCTTCTCTGTAATTCCTCCAGCTCTCAAGAATAAAACAAGTTGGGCATCACATTAATTCTGAAAAAGTGTTTACTTTGCACAATTATCAGCATTGTTTTCTCTGATTCAAATCATATTTTTGGCTTGGACAACATGGAAGCTATTTTTTGTTATTGTTGTTTGGTTTTGATTTGCTTGAGACCTACTGAAACAATAACACTGTTAGAGTAGTCCTTTGTTCTCAGTATCCCGAAAGGAACTCTTGTTTTGTTATATTTTGTTTTCTGTAGGAGTAATGGTAGTAATAATCTTCAATAATTGCATGTGTATAATACAAAACCTATTTTATTAACAAATGAAGCAAAACAGCTTCATGTATTTCAGTCACCTCAGAAGTGTTAAATGCCTAATAGAATATATCAGGTAATTATAGAAGCTTAAGGAGTACAAGCCTGCAAGTTTATTATGTATCCCTGGTATCTTGCTCTTTGAAATTTTGATTATCCTTGCCATTCACGAACATTCACCTGATTAGTATGTGACACCTCCTTGCCCTCTGGAAAAGACTGTAATCCCATTTATGGTTAGCAGCCATCTCTAACATCAGGTTTTGTTATGGGAGGAATTACCCATGTGATTCTTCTTTCTTACCCTTTTCATCATTTTCCTGTCAGTCTAGTAGTAAAACAAATATAAGGGGGGAAAGGATCTCATGGATAAATGTAGTGGTTATTATTTAGTAACAGTATCAAAATTTTCAAATTCCAGAGAATTTTACTTTTATTATGACTAAGTCAATGGGCAACATGTACATACTGTGTCAACAACTCAGCCTTTTATCCTTGATTTTTGCAGCCATTTGTAGACACCCATGTGGAAAAGGGAGGGAGTGTGTTGCCCCAAACATATGCAAATGTAAACCTGGCTACACTGGTTCTAACTGCCAGACTGGTAGGTATAGCACTCCTTAGTTTGCAGAATTAATTTAATTGATAATTGATATTTCTAACCGTGAGCTTTATTTTATACAGCTATATGCCATCCTGATTGTAAAAACCATGGAAAATGTATTAAACCTAACATTTGTGAATGTCCGCCAGGACACGGTGGAGCAACCTGTGATGAAGGTGGTAATTCAAGTTAAAAATAAAATAAAACAATTTTAAAAAAAACATTTTTAAAGATAGTTTTACTGTATACATACTAACATATATTCATTAATGCTGGTGAGGGAGTCAAAATTTTTAATGTTTATTTAAAATAATCTATTTAAAGATTTTAAAAACTTAAATGTCTAAAATCAGAAATCCAGCCCTAGCAGGTTTTGCTCAGTGGTTAGAGCATCAGCCTGGGGACTAAAGGGTCCCAGGTTTGATTCCAGCCAAGGGCAAGTGCCTCAGTTACAGGCTCGATCCCTGGCTCCCCGGTTGGGGTGCGTACAGGAAGCAACCAATCAATGTGTCTCTCTCATGTTGATGTTTCTTTCTCTCTCTCCTCCCCTTCTACTCTCTCTGAAAAAGCAATGGAAAAAACAGTCCTCATCTGAGAATTAAAAAACACACACCCAGAAATCCAAAGAGCAATAGCTTATTTGTCCTTGGTAAAATTATCTTCAGAAACATTTTTTTGAGATTTAGTTATAAGTTGCCATATCCTTACAAATATTTTACCTTCAAGCAAAGGACACCTGATTATTGAATGACTTGTAAAACATGGTTCCAAAGAACTGTGAAATACCAAACAATTAGAAGATGTCAGGTAGTAAGAAGAAATCTAAAAAGCAATTTTTAAAAAACATGTCTATAAACACATAATTTCATCGTTCTGGTTGAAATCTTAAGTGGAGAGTTTATAAAATGGTATTCCTAAAGTGGATAATATTTTTAAAACATTGTTATTTTGAAAATAATACTTTTAAAGAATATATGTTGGTAGATGATACTATTAGTGAACCCCACAGAACCAAATTTCATAGTAAAAGAGAATTGAGTTTATTATAATTTGCTCTTACAAAAAACTTTTATTGTGGCTGTCCTTCATAAACATAAACTGACTTTGAAACATTGCGAGCTGACTTAATGACATAATCTGTGTCTGCAGAATACTGTAGCCCACCTTGTCAACACAGTGGCACCTGCCTGGCTGGAAATCTCTGTACTTGTCCTTATGGTTTTGTGGGACCAAGGTGTGAAACAAGTAAGCAAAGCTCTCTGGGATCTCGTATAATGAAATTGTTTCTTTGAACAGTTTATGACTTTAATTCTAGCTGATATAAACCAAAACCCTGAGTAAAAACCACACACTCATGATTCATTAAGACAGTTAAGATTCTGCATACTGCTGGGAGTGCTGGGTGCCAATACTAAGACAAAGGAGTTTCTTCTTAGAAGCAACTCTCTTGTTTACCTTATCCATGACCATTTCTTCATTTTTATTTTTTTTTGAGACAACAAGAATTCAGTTTGTTGAACTGCCCATAAATTTATCTCATTTAATTTTACCTGTGATTACTTTCATTAGTAAGTAATAATTCTTTCAAATGGCCATTTCTTGTTTAACATTCAGCTCAATGGCTTTCTACTTTTCCCATCTCAGTGGGCAAAAAAATAAATAAAAATAATTGAATGTGGCCCTAGACAGTTCTGTTCAGTGGTTAGAGTGTTGGCCCGTGGACTGAAGGGTCCCAGGTTCGATTCTGGCCAAGGATATGTACCTCGGTTGCAGGCTCGATCCCCAGCCCCAGTCGAGGCCCATGTGGGAGGCAACCAATCGATGTTTCTCTCTCTCTCTCTCTCCCTCTTTCCCCCTTCCATTCTCTCTGAAAAAGCAATGGAAAAAATATCCTCAGGCAAGGATAAAAACAACAAAACTGAATGTGAGAATGGGGGACCATTTAAAGCCAAAGGATAAATTATTTTTATCTTTCCGTCTGATCTTATTAATTAGAAGATGTAATAGTCAGGTAATAACCAATAATATGACCAATTCCAAGCCTAATCTACTTTTCTTTTATTTTTGTCCTATGACCTTAGTGGTTTGTAACAGGCACTGTGAAAATGGAGGTGAATGCCTTACACCAGATGTTTGCCAGTGCAAGCCTGGCTGGTATGGACCCACCTGCAGTGCAGGTAAAATCAAAAATATTTTTAATAAATGTCAGTTAAAATAAATTTTTTTATTATTATTATTATTTTTTAATCTTCATCCAAGGACATGGTTAGAGAGGAAGGGGGAGAGAGAGAGAAAAACATCGAGAGGTTGCCTCCCATACCAGCCCTGAGCTGTGACAGGAATCGAACCCGCAGACCTTCCAGTGTGTGGGAAGACGCTCCAACCAAGAGCCACACTGGTCAGGGCCAGATATATTTTTTAAAACCTATCTTTCATCTTAATTCTTTTTCTTCTTGTATTAGACCATAAACTGTATAAGAGCTTTAATAGTATCCAACCCAACCAATCCTTTTGTTTTTAATGGTGGAGACAGATCAGTGTAGTATCTTCTAGATCCCTTTTAAGGTTTTTTGTTGTTGTTGTTTTACCACAGACATTCTGTTTCATTAAACATTCAAGCAGTTCTGAGTTAAGTGGGCACCGTCACATGACTCCATTTATTTATCACAGTATCAGGCTTACTTCTTGGCAGCAGTGTTTGCAATTATCTATGTCTAATCTAATGTGTTGTGATCTAATGACTTTTCTCAACATAGATCTAATTCAACGTTGATAGCTTGCCAACTATGTGTGCAGCATGTTGCAAAGGGAAACAAAGATCAATTTGATATTGCCCTGATTTTAAGGAGGATATCACGAGTGAAGGAGACACAGGGTACAATTATAAAAAAGACTATGATACAAGTTGAATTATAATAAGCTATGTAATTAATGAACAGTTCCTTAGAGGCAGAGAAGAGAAAAATTGATTTTGGCAAGTGCAGTTTGGAAGAAAAAAAGTATTTGAGGTAGACTTCAGAAAATGGATAAAATCTGGGTTAAAAAATGGATAAGGGTTTCACTCATGTGGGATATAAAACAAAAAGCAAGAAACGAACAGACTTGCAGATACAGACACCAGAATGGTGATTACCAGAGGGGAAGGGAGGTGGGGGAGAATGAAGACGGTAAAGGGGGTCAAGTACATGGTGATGGAAGGAGACGAGACTTTGGGCGGTGGGCACACAATGTAATATATAGATGTTGTATTATAAAGCTATGCATTTGAAATTTTATAATGTTATTAACCAATGTTATCCAAGTAAGTTAATTTTAAAAAAGAAAAATGAAATTGGGGGTATCTTTTAAAATGGAGCAATGGTAAAGAAGAAAAACAAAGACCATTTTTGAGTGTGCTAGGACTTGGGTGCAGTGCTCCTTTTTGAATTGGGAAGGAGACCCGTATATGTTAGCAGATTGCAGACCATCCTGTTTGAGCTTTTCAATTGTCGTCTCCTAACTTCTAGTCATTCTTTCAGCTTACCAAGGGCGTTCTGAACTCTAACCACAGTCTCCACATTCGTATCTTGGTATTATTTGTAAGCTTAAAGAATAGACTTTCAGCCCTAGTCACTTTGGCTCTGTGGTTAGAGCATTGGCCTGGGGACTGAAGGGTCCCGAGTTTGATTCCAGCCAAGGGCTCATACCTTGGCTGCAGGTTGGGTCCTCGGCCCTGGTCAGGGCACATGCAGGAGGGAACCAATCGATGAGTCTTTCTCACACTGATGGGTTTTTTTTTTTCTCTCTCTCTCCCTTCCACTCCCTCTGAAAAGCAATGGAAAATTAAAAGTGAAGATTAAAAAAACACAACAACAGACTTTCAAAGCTATTAACCAGTAATTTCATTCCTCTTATGTTTGGCAAAATCTAATTAATTATAGGTTATGGGTTTTACTTGCAGTAAAAATAAAATATTTCGTTATGCACTATGTTGTACTTTCTGTGCAGCTTCCATTTTTTAAATAATAAAACTTTTATGGTCTCTCTCCCTCTTGCTGTTCATTAGCTTGGTGTGACCCTGTTTGCCTCAATGGTGGTTCCTGTAATAAGCCAAACATGTGCCTCTGTCCCAGTGGATTTTTTGGTGCACAGTGTCAGAATGGTAATTATTCTTTTTAAAAAAATAAAAAGGCAAAGGAAAAGTTAGATATAAATAGAGCTCTGAGTAAATACAAAGAGACAAATTCTGAAGGGAAGATGCTATTCAGTTTTTTTTCTCTATTTCTTATGAAGTTGCAGGTTTGGCCACCAAAGGATCACATCAAATATATCAGAGTTATGATACATATATTAGGCTCACAACCATGGAAGTTGTCTGTGCAGTTTTGTAGAACTAAGGTGTAAAACAAATAAGCAAAGTTTTCTTGCAGTCTATTATAATGAAATGGTGCCATTTTTGTTGCCTTCACAGCAAAAACGTTTGACTTGTGGTCAATCTAATGTCTACTATTATTTCATGATCTCTCTTGACTTTAGTTTTATTTTTTATTTTTTTAAATGTCTTTATTGATTTCAGAGAGAGGAAGGGAGAGGGAGAGAGAGATAGAAACATCAATGATGAGAGAGTCATTGATTGGCTGCCTCCTGCACACCTCCTGCTGGGGATCGATCCTGCAACCCGGACATGTGCCCTGACTGGAAATTGAACCACGATCTCCTGGATCATAGGTCGATGCTCAACTGCTGAGCCACACCAGCCAGGCTCTTAACTTTATTAAACATTTATGAAGAGCCAGCTGTGCGCAGCACTGTACAAGGTGATGTGGGAACATAAAGATGCATCATTTTCCCCTTTATGACCTATTATTTTAACACTTCCCTCATAATGTTCATGCTACAGGTTTTTTCAGAATAATAGGATGTCCTGAAGCTATCAGTGTAGGCATGAATTAATGTCAATAAATAAAATTTAAAATGTATTTTCTGATCTTCATATTTTTGAGCTTATGCAAAATGTAGGGTAGATTTGTTTTTTTTAGTAAAGCATATCAGAACATGTCATAATTTAATTTCTAAAATTTATACTTTATTTTCCATGTTACACTTTGATTTTATTCCAATTTTTCATTTGGAGGTTGGCTAGGAGTCTTAGGTGGCAATTGAGGCAGAGAAAAAAGCCATTGTTTTAATACCAGATATGTGCATATAGGAAATGAGTTCTTATAATTCAGATTTCCTATAAGAAATCAGAGAGCAAAACAGAAGAAAGTAAAGACAAAGTTAAGGCAAATCTTGAAAACTAGAAGACTATATTGAAACCCATGTTTATGAGCTATAGTGTTGAGTGGAGAATATAAGAAGGGAAATGAAAAGCTTACATCTCTTATACTACTTGAAGTAGATGTAAGATACAATTTTAAAAGTTCTCTAGCCCGGATGGCATGGCTCAGCAGTTGAGCATCAACCTTTGATCCAGGGAATCATGTTTCTATTCCCGGTCAGGGCACATGCAGGGTTGTCGGCTTGATCCCCAGTAGGGAGCGTGCAGGAGGCAGCTGATCAATGACTCTCTCATCATTGATGTTTCTATCTCTCTCTTTTCCTCTCTCTTCCTCTCCCTGAAATCAATAAAGACATATTAAAAAAAAAAAAAAAAGTTCTCTAAAATTTATATGCCAACTGTATAACTGGGAGAGAGGGAAATCTCTAAATTATCAAGTAGAACTAGTTATTATCTATTGAACATAGGTCATGTTAGCAGGTTTTGGAATTAGCTGGTCTCTACAACTCCCTAGCTGACATAATTTTGGAAATTTACTTAAAGTTTACTTACAGGGCTCAATCATCTTAGCTTTCAAGTTTGAACCAGACAGTTACTGTGAGGCATAAGTGAGACATACAGTCAACTACCTGCACATAAAAGCAGCCAGATACTATTAAGTAATAGTGTTATTGTCATCGAGACTTGTTACAGAAATGCAGAAGAAATAAAAACATGATCTTTATTTGTATTAAATCACATGCATTATTGAGCCTGATGTGAGCCCAACCGGCAGGAAGGAAAGATGGTACACACATCAAAAGTCATTGAATAAAATTAGGCAGACTGTGGTTAAAAGTAAACTATGAGCAGTATATACTGTGTGTTCTATGGGAGTTCAAAACTGAGCTAGAAACATCATGAAAGAGTTAAACTACACTATTAATAAGCAAGGCTTAAAATGTGTGGCTGGAGAGATGGTTAAATACATCTTCCAATTTCCTTCATCCTTGAATGCCATAAACCTGATCCGCACAGAAGGTGAGGCCAGATTACTTGGCTCACTTTGGAGTTTGATGGAAAATTTATCTGAAGCCTAGAGAATGTCTTAAATATTTATGTGAAGGTGAATTTTCTAAATCTCCTTTTCCTAAAATGGGATTTGGGGTGGGCATGACCAAGCCTAACTTTTATGCCGTCCATTTCTCTATATTACTTATATTAGATATACTTTTTTGTATAACTGTAGCATTTATCTCTATACTCAAGTTTTGTGGAATGGATGAGTATTGATTATAGCAAGATTACCCATCATAGATAGGTCTTCTGTTCACTTAATTTCTTTAATTTTAAATTTCTAACTCTAGGTGTTTCTTATGGTGTTTTTGTAATAAAAAGAATACTTTTTTTCTTTATAAATATAAATAATCTTAAATTGTATAAAGATTAAGAAGCAGAAAGTATATGAGTATTTCTCCATAATAATAAAAAAAAAGCAATAATAATAGCAGAGAAAGTAGACTCAAACATTAACCAGAAAAAGCTCAGTCTAAAATAATGAAAATTATTCATTTGTTATTCAGTTATATTGTTTTTATACATAAAGGGCTACATTATTTTCATTTATAAACCCACTGGAAATCAGTTAAATTTTTCTTATAATGTTTGGAAATTAAGATAGCAGCTATTTAAGATGGATCTAATTCAAATGAGGAGTCAAGTCAGCAACATCCCCATTATCCAAACCAATTAATTTGACATTAATTTTTGAAACACAAACTAAAATTTAAAACAACTACATTTAATTGTCATATCTGGAAGAAACATGAAACAATAATAATCCTCTCATAAAAGATGATAAATATTAGCTTCAAACTTCATAGAACAGAATTATATATATAGAAGATAGTGTATTCAAGATTACTCAGTAAATATTCCTAACAAAGCTGAGGATTTATCATTAAAAAGATTTTTACCAAACAATCATAGAAACATCACATATAAAGCTCTGCATTCATTACCTCAGTAGGTATTTAAAATTTAACCTAAAAGTATTTTTTAAATATTATGTGAGGTTATTCATATTTTTCTAATTTCCATAGGAATAGATATATTCTTACTTTGAGCTAGGTTTTGACTTATTTTCTTGGTTTTGACCAGATCATTTCACTCTTTACTTCCAAGTATGGTAAAACATAAGATTAAGTTCATAATATCTGCACTATAATACCAAAGACTCCATTGTTATGAACACTTCACCAATACAGTGCAAACTGTGCTAACCCACTAGCAGCTTATAGCTCTAAGGATTGTATTGTATGATTTAGAAGGGTGATTTTAGTGACTTGCAGTTGTGATCTTTTATTTTAATAGCACATCTCTCTGCCTTAGGGCCCTATAGATAGCAAGCTCATGATGCAATATGTAATATATAATAATTGAATATGTAATATTCACAGATTGCTGCCATGTATTCTTTTAGCTATCTGTCACCCTCCCTGTAAGAATGGTGGCCACTGTGTGAGAAAGAACGTGTGCATCTGTCGTGAAGGATACACTGGTAGGAGATGCCAAAAAAGTAAGACACCACTACGTGTATTTGCCAACTACAGGTAAAGCAAACACATAAAATAACAAAACTATTACTATTTAAGAGCTGACATTTCATGATTTTACCTTAAGGTATCTGTGACCCCATGTGCATGAACGAAGGAAAATGTGTGGGACCAAACATCTGCTCTTGTCCTTCTGGTTGGAGAGGGAAGCAATGCAACACACGTAAGAGGAATACTCAAAATGCTAAGGCCTGTGTTACCTTGTGAATGTGAATCAGAGTTTAAGACAAGTAGCGTTTTCCTTGTTTTTGTTTGTTTTTACTTTTGTTTCTTTGTTTCTGTTTCAGGTGATATCCTTTTGAAATAGAAATCTGAGTAAAATGCCAAGTCCTTTCAACTCATTCTTTCGATTGAGCAGAAAAGGAGGGTATTCTGTATTTTCTAGTCTGTTCACTACAATTGCCAGGATAAATAGCAAATCTTTAAGTCCTGGTTTACTAGTCTGAAGTAGGAGTCAGGGGAAGGTTTTAAAAAATTACCGATTCCCATCTCAGATCGACCAGTTCAGAACCTCCCAAGGTTGGGTACCACTGCTTTCAAAAATGATGGCAGCTCTCCTCATTCAAATGTTTCATTTTTCTTTTTATAAATTATTAGTTCAAATTAGCAGCTAATATAATGTATTGCTCAAAGAGAAAAACAAGAAACAACATAAGTGTCTAACATTTGGAGGGAAGTTAAATCACTCTATTAATGGAACATCGCACAACCATTAAAATCATGTTTTTCAAGAATAAGTTGTGACAATGGAAACATTCTGGATAAAATGTTAAGGGAAAAGATCCTTTCATCAATGACTTTTAACTGTCTTTTTTCCTCTAATGAACATTTTTATGGCTTATGACAGGATTTTACTAGTAAATTATATTTTTAACATTTCTATTTGCAGCAATCTGCTTTCAGGAATGTAAAAATGGTGGTGAATGTATTGCTCCCAGTATATGCCTTTGTCCTGCCACCTGGGAAGGAATGCAGTGTCAGCTACGTAAGCCTACAGCATTTTTTTTCTACTATAGGTTCTGAACCTCCATCTTTTAAAATTATTAGCTGGAAAGCAGGGAAGAACCAAGCAGCCACCTTGGGTTTCCTATAGCCCCTACTATTTGTTGAATTTACAACCATTGTTTACCCATACAATATACCCTAGAAGTTTCCATCACTTATTTTGCAATACTTCCCATGCAATTTTAAATATTTTGAGGTGTTCCAGGAACCCTCTTGAAATACCACCAAGTTATTTCTACATATATTGTGATTTTAACCTTTAAAAATCTCAATTTCTAATTAAAACTAAGTAAGCAACTAGCATTCTTTAACTTGGACAGTTTATAACCTCTAGAAATATTATTTATAGACCTAAAAGTCAATCATTAACATGGAATTATTTTTGTAAATCCCGGGCAAAATAAAGACATGTCTTTTCTGCTTAAACCAACCAAATGTAAGCTAGCTTTGATTTACTAAGAATTAATCTTAGATCACATGAACTTGAAAAGCTTTTGAGTTAGCTTCTGTCTTTCTGAGAATTTTAGAATACCCAATTCTCACAAGCCCTTGCCTTTAAATTAAATTTGTTAAGTTTATTTTTTATCGTTGACATTGCAGATGTCTCTTATTCCCCCCT